ATATTATATTCATTTAATATCATATTATAATTGTAAATTTATAATTTTATATAATTTATAACTATGTCATTGTTAAAAAAATATTTATTATATTCTTAGTTTTTATATTAAAAGTACAAATTAAAAAAACTTTAACTATTCACTTGTTTTTACTTTGACTAAATAATCTATTTTCTTCTAAATTGATATAGAAACTTCAAGAAATGTTTCATAATAATAATAATAAAACATTTTCAAGTGCCTCTAATAGAATTCAACATCAGTCCTTACATCGCTTTAAGTAAACACTATAAGAACAAGGAAATTGCATTTCAAATGGACATAGTATTAAAAAAAAAAAAAAAAAAACAGCATCGTCATATGTTCATAATCATAATGAAGGGGGAGGGATTAATTACAGCCAAAAAAAATGAGAAGAAAGTTAAGGAATAAGAACTTGATGTTGATTATGAATTATAATTTAGTTTTTCTAAATTATGTAATATCTATATGATGTAGCATACTCATTAACGTGTATTTTCTAAAATCTACAAACCATTTAGATATTTATTGGTTGAATTAATTAAGATAAACACGTGCTATCTATATTTAGATTTAAAGTCTTGAAATCAAGATATAAGAATGTACCATTGAAATTTGTGAAAAAAATTAATATCAAAATGTGCATAAGATGATTTAAAGACATTCAAATTATCTAAACAAAAGAAATATTAAGGCTTCGTTTGTTGTTATTTTTTTTTTCTTGTAATTTTAAAAAATTTAAAAAATAAATTAACAAGTTTTATAAGCTAATTGAACTTTAAATTTTAAGAATTAGTTCTAAAAATTTATACTCTAATAAGTTTTTAATTCACAATTTTGGTTTTCAATTGCTTACTTTTGATTGTTCAAATTTTGGCAACCAAAAATTACAATCAATGAGACTAATCATTCGGAATTTTGTTTTGTTTTTTTTTTTTTAACAGAACTATTCAAAAAAATATATTTTGTATAAATTAAAATGACAGGAGGTTACCAACTATTAAATTTAGAAAGAAGAAAAAAAAATGTAAAAATGAACCGAACACACCAGGGGGAGAGGAAGGAAGAGAAAACTTGTTTAAAGACACAAGGAAGAGTCAAATTTGTATGATTTTGGTGGGTCTTTGATGATTCAAAAGGCCTCTCCTTTGTGTCTGGATTTCTCCTTTTTTTTTTTCCTTCCTTCCTTTTTTTTATTGATTTCCCACATCAGGTATGCAATTCCAATTTTCTGTCAATCCCATTTTCTTTGAATTTTTGTTCTTTTACGTGTCAAAATCCTAGATTCTTTGCTTTGTTCCGTGTTTGATTTCGAATTGATGCTTTATTTTTATTATTATTATTATTATTATTATTATTATTATTATTATTATTATTTTGTTTTGTAGATTGTGGAAGAAGGGATTTATTGAAGTTTGAATTTTTTGGTAGAGATAAAGAGTTGGGTGATTCGGGTTTTTGATTGTCTTGAGCTTCTTTTGATCCAGAAACGTAGAATCCTGGTGAATTTTGGGTTTCTTTGATTTGACATGGATTATCTTGAGTTGGGTTCAATCAAAACCATTTTTTTCTTCTGGGGTTTTGCACTTTCATTGACCTCCTCCGTTGCTCTGTTCCTCTTGCATTAAGTGAAGGTTGCTTAATCTTTTGTATGAATAAAGCCATTAAAATTCATTGCAAGCTTGACTCTTACAACTTTTTTGAGAACTGGGGTTACATTATTTGTCGTCTTCTTTGAATTCTGATACTTCATTCAGGCTTCTTTGTGCTCTTGATATTGGATCAAGAGAGTCTTGAATTTCAATGGCTAATCCACCATAACCTCCTTGTAGATACTCTAATGTTCCTTCTCAACTACACGCATCATCTCCTAACCCTAATAAGAGTTCAGTTCTTCCTCGTCCACCAACCTCACCTGTGCTAGGTAGATTCCCTCCAACAAACATCTCCTCTCCTTCTATTCAAACTCCAACTATGCTATCTCCCGCAAATGGGATAAAGAATGGAAGCCCTACACCCCACTTAAGCACTCCCTCTGGCCCTCATGTATTCACTTCACCTGTGCGGCTAGCTGTCGTGTTTTTCTGTACTTCTCTTGCAACTCCTCTACTAGTGGCTCTCTCATCAGGTTCATCTTTGCCTACTTCTTAACGCCCCTCATTTCCCAAATGGATTAGTTCAATTGGACAATCAACCTTTCTTACTCCACAAAGGAACCTTTTTTTGTTGGGGAGTTACCTTTTTTTTCACAACTCATAAGGTATATCTCATTGATTGGAACTGAGGGCATCTATAGTTTTGATAGATTTTAGTTCCTCTTGTTTGCTTGTTATATTTTTCTAATTGAATTTTTGCAACTATTAAGGTTTGGAATAATGCCTCACCTATTCAATAATATTTCTATTTACAAACAAATGAGCTTCTCTCTGACACTTTTTGGCAACACAGGTAGTGAAGCAGCAAAAACAAGCCAATATACCTAGTTTAGGTTTTAGGGTATTAGTTTCTATCGACAGGGAGATCTCACCAAATACTCCTGTTATACAACATTATCCTCTTTGCTGTCATACTTGTGGAGCATATCCAAATCCCTATTGTGATGTATTAATTGGATTAGGCCAATGGTAGTGTGTTATCTATGGGAACTTAAATGGAAGTGAGGGTGAATATGTAGGTTCCAACAAGGAAGATCTCTCCAATTTTCCTAAGTTGTCATCACCATGGGTTGATTATGTTCAAATTGGGAATAAAAGACCAAGTTTTGTTCTAGTTTTTGATTCAAGAGTGTCTGCACTTATTGTTCTTGTAATAAATGACTGTTGGATGAACTACATCTCCAACATCTATAAAGATCCTTGCATGTGTTTTGTGGATTCAATTCCAACAACAAAAAGACTTGAATTTATATTGTATGGGTGCATAGTGTTAGTCAATGATTTGTTAGAGGGATTAATAGCATCGGCTGATGTTCTTCCTATGGCACATTGCCAACTCCAAAGTCCTTGAAATCATTGATTTATAGGGCTGGAATATACTTGTTACCAATGCATGCTTTGAAAAAGGTAGCTCACCAAATATTCTCTTCTCTCAGGTTTTGTAAGTTAAACATTTCAAAAACTTCAAGAGACTGGTGCTTGGGAACAGCTATTGAGGTTGCTCTAGCCATAATTTAGGGATCATCTGCTGAAATGTCTCAAGGTATGGTTAAAGGAACATGAGGCAATAGTGGAATCATTGTCTTTGCTGGAGGGCCAAATACTTATGGCCCCATATCAATACCTCATTCTTATAGTCTCCCTAATGATCCTTATAAGGAAAAGACAACACTAAAATGGATGAAGCACCTTGGTCATGAGGCTCATAGGCAGAACACAATGCTTGACATTTTGTGTGCTGGAACTTGTCTTGTAAGGGTTCCAATTCTCCAACCTCTTACAAAAGCTTCCGGAGGTGTTTTGGTCTTTCATGATGATTTTGGAGAAGCCTTTGGGGTGAACTTGTAAAGGGCATCTACCAAGGCAATTGGTTCCCATAGATTGTTGGAAATATGCTGTTTTGATGACATTCCCATTGCGCAGGTTGTGGGTCTTGGTGAACAAGCACACTTAGACATTCATGAAACCTTTAGAAATGATACTGCCTTATCAATTCAAATGCTTAGTGTTGAAGAGGCATAGAGCTTCTCAATCTGAATGGAAAATAGAAATACATCAAGAGTGATAATCTATTTTTCTAATTTTCTATTCATTTTTCAAATGTTTATTAAGTTGATGAAGCAAGAGTGATTACTTTCAAATTGCCAACTATTGATAGTGTTTTTGCATATCTTGAGAGTGTGTAAGGTGATGTAATTACTGTTTTAATTGCTAAAAGGACCCTTTTACGAGCAAAAAACTATTTTTATGCAATTGAAATGAGAACAACAATAGATGAAATAATTAAAGACATTGCTCTAAAGCTTGGGTCTTTTGTGCCAAAGTCAAAGCTTTATCAATTCCCTAAGGAGCCCTCTTTGCTATCAAAGCTCTTATTCCAACTAAGGAGGGGCCCATTTTTGGGAAATGTTGTTGGCTATAAAGATGAGAGATTAGTGCTGTGGAATTTGTTCTTGAATGCATCCTTTGACTTATCATTTTGTATGATTGCTCCTCGTTGTTTAATGCACCAAGAAGGGGTATATTTGAGGAACTACCAACTTATAACCTTACCATGCCGTCTGATAGAGCAGTTGTTCTTGACCATGGGAGAAATATTTTCATTTGGTTGGTATGTCCATTTTAGCCCTTTTATAGCTGATTTTACATCTTCACTTCATTTCATAATAATGTGGATATATTGTTCGTCATATTTTTCATTTATTGTTGATTGTGCTTTGCTTACATATGTATTTACAAATAGATGTGAGGTAAGTTTTTGTGCTTTTAGGATTCCTATTCATTATGCTTGAGATGATATGAGAATGCACTATAGTTGGAAGGTTGGTGGAAAAGACTAGAGCATATTGTTGTATTTTCGTGAACTTAACTAGGTTAGGTGATCAACATTTTAGAATTAACCATTTGTGTTATTGGTATGAAATAAATTTCTTCTATTGGTAGATAGTTATTGTTGCACAATGGTAATAGTTTGGAACAACAAAAGGAATTAAGTTCAATTCACTACTAAAAATTTGTCTTTTTTCAACCAACTATTTTCTAGCGCAATTTACACTGGAAAATAGTATATTATTTTTTAGCGCCAAGCGCTAGAAATTAAAAATTTGTATAAAATATCTAAGATCCATTAATAATTTTCAAGTGAAACTAATTAGTGCGCTGGAAAATAATTTAGCGCCATAATTTGGTTTGGTGTCTTCTTATTTTCTAGCACACTAGGCTGGAAAATAATGTTTTTAGTGTTACTGTTGACAAGAAAAATTTTCAAAAATCAAAAAAATATTTTTCACGTTCTTTTCCAGCACAACGCGCTGGAAAATGTTTAGAATCATCAAAGTTAAATCGTAGAAATGGGTGCAATTCATTTTTTAGCGCCTTGCACTGGAAAATACACTTGTGTATTTGGTTCAGCTTATTTTTCAGTGCATTACGCTGGAAAATAGTAGTGTCCATTTGGTGCAGATTATTTTCCAGTGCAGTGCGTTGGAAAATAGTTGTATCCATTTGGTTTAGATTGGTTCATGTTATTTTCCACCGCAATGCGCTAGAAAATAGTAGTGCCTGTTTGTTGTAGATTATTTTCCAGTGCAGTGCATTGAAAAATAGTAGTATCCATTTGGTTTAGATTGGTTCAGATTATTTTCCATCACAATGCGTTGGAAAATAGTAGTGCCCATTTGGTTTAGATTATTTTCCAGCGTAATGCGCTCAAAAATAAGCTTGTGTATTTGGTCAGGTTATTTTCTAATGTAATGCGTTGGAAAATAAGTTTATTTGAAATTTAAAGTTTAACGTTTAAACGTCATTTTTTTCTTGTAAAATTTTCAAAATTCTTCCCACATTATTTTCCAGCGCAATGCGCTGGAAATTGAGTTTATTTAAAATTTAAAATCTAATGTTCAAGCGCCATTTTTTCCTTGTAAAATTTTCAAAATCCCACCCACATTAATGCGCTGGAAAATAATACTTATCTATATAAACCTTCCCTTAGCATTTTCTCCCATCTTCTTCTTTCTTCTCTGTCATTTTTCTCATCTTTTATCCAAATTCACTTTCTTTTTTCTCCTCTCATCCTTTGCCCCACTCATATATTTCACTTTCTCATCTTAATCATCCCTTTCCTCTTCTCTCCATTTCCTCGTCCTTGTCCTTTTCCATTTCATCTTCTTTTCTTCTACTTTCCTTTTTGCTTTTCTTTTACTCTTTTCATTCCTCTTTCTTTAATATGTTACTTGAAATAAGAGGTACTATTCATTTCAATTTATTAGTAGTATAATTTTCAATTTTATTTATATTTTTCTTTATATTAACCCTCATATATATATATATGTGTGTTACTAATTAATTTTTTTATATATTTCAGGTGTTTTTATGAATTACATGAAATTAAGGTATATTTATGTATTTAATTTCATTTATTTTTGTCAATATTTATTAAATTATATGTGTTATGTAATGTTTTATATAAGATTGTATTTATAAAATAAATATATTAAATATAATTGTTTATGTATAATTAATTTTAATATATTATAAAGTAGTGTTTTATCATTAACATTTTATCTATTTAATTTCTTTAATTTTAATTATTATATGTGTTGTATGTTTATTTAGTGTATGTTTTAGATTTTTGTATATATAATCTTGATTAATATATATAATATTGTTTTATGGTAAATTTATTCATCTTAAATACTATTTTGTACTTATAAATATTTACAAATTGTATATAATAATAGTTATGCAAAAGTAATTTTTTAAAATTTTCTGGACATTATTTTCTAGCACTAAATAATGTCCATATATCCATTTAGAGTTAGAACTATTTTCCAATGCTTAGCACTGGAAAAGAGTGCTATATGCCCATTTAAAGTAAAAACTATTTTCCAGTGCTTAGCGTTGGAAAATAAGTAGTAACGACAACTTAAAACGGGTTGCCGTTATCCTTTTTTCCAACGCAAAGCATTGAAAAATATTGGTAAAATTTTTTTCAGTGCATTTTTTGCGCTAAAAAATAACTATTCTCCACACCTTTTTTTTCCATCAACATTTTTCAGTGCAGAACACTAAAAAATAAAAATTTTTCAACGCATTTTAAGTATTTTCCAGTGCAAAATGTGATGGAAAATAGGCTTTTTTTTGTAGTAGTAGTGATTCTTGCTAACAAACTTATATATTTTCTATTGCCAAAAATAGAAACTAAGTCTAGTCATGTATTTGCGGCTAATTCATCTAGCTTGTTTATCTCCTTGTATTCTAACTGCTGGGAATTTCAAGCACCACAACCCCACACAAACGGAAGCGATAAAGAAATTGAGACAATAATTTAACGTGGTTCGACTTGTACACCTCTCAACAAGTCTACATCCACGGGAAAGAGAAAAATAAATCAACTATTAAGAAAAAAAGAGTACAATAATTTAGAAGCTCTCTCACTCAAGAAACACTCAACACCCTAGCTTCAATGTATAGAAGCTCCCAAATTCTCCCTAATACTCCCTCTTAATCTACACAAGGATTTCTCACAATTTCTCTCTTT